GAGAACACACACACACACACACACACACACACACACACACACACACACACACACACACACACACACACGTCCTATAACTCACAGCACAGACTGTTATGTAATCATCATCATCATCATCCTGCCCTGAAAACACGGTAACACCCAAGATGAATGCCAGTGAAAACAATTAGCAGACAAACTGCTTCCAGAACAAAACACTCCGAGAGCCACAACTACCAAACAGGCGGAGCCCCGAGCCCAGAAGAGAGGAATGCAGATGCTTTTTAAAGCTCCACAGGAACAACAAAGCATTACATCGCACGTAAATAGACAGTGATGGAAATGTGCCACGTGACAAATGTGAAGTATGTTTAACTAATCCACATTTCATTCGAGACGGCGGAACAAGTGGCACTCCCATGAAGCATTACAATCAGTTCAACAGAGGCTCAATTATTCTAATCTGATTTACTTTGGAGCATTTCATTTAATCAAATCATGTTACCGGATTATCAATCTACATGTTTTCTGTGATTGGAGGCATCCAAACAACACAGAGATTTTGGAGCAAACTCTCTCTGCTCTAATATTGTAAACCAGTGCTTCTACCTCACATGCCTTTTAGGTGTGGACTCCAGATTCACACCCATGTGCCAACAATAGTATCAGTCCTCCTCCTGACTCCCTGCACCCGAGGGATGGATCAAATTCCAAATACAGGACCAGCACGCTATAGGTTTCTTCTTTTGCAGACCTACAGCTGCTACTACTACATCCACCGTGCAGGGATTGTAATTTAGGGCGCAAGTCCCTCTTAGCCTCTACTTTTTCTTGGAGATCGTGGAGCAAATATAATTGTGGTATTTATTTGACGTAGGCAGACTGACTTACATTAAAAGATCGGAAGAAAAAGCATTTGTATGCTGAACAAAAAAACACATTTCAGAAGACATTTTCATGACACAAACTATCTTTTGGTTTGTTTTTTCGAAGACGATGCAAAAAAAAAAAGTTACAGGTCTATTTACGTGCATGCACCTGTGCCTGTGGGTCATGCGACTCGTGAGAAAGCCTGACAACAACAAATGTAAACGTGAGTAACATGAGGCCTAAATACAGAAACTGCAACACAGACAAAAACCCAGCAGCCTACATTTTGAACCCCACGTCCTCAGGCAGAGAACAGACTGAAGAGGACCCAGTTTCCACACAGACTCCTGTAGAGCTCATTCTTTCATAAACAGTCCCATTCCAGAGCTGCAGAGCATGCCTGCATATCTGCTTCCCTATCTTCCAAAACAGGAAATCACAACACTCCACCCCATCCCAGCATGACACCATCTCCTCAGCGTTTTCCCTAAGCTTCCTTCTTATTCTAGGCTTCAGCTTCTTCTGTGGAACAAGTTGATCCCCAAAAACCGACCTTGAAGGCAGTGCAGGGCTGAAATTACAAGACGAGTAGGCTGTCAACCTATTTCATCCAGCGTGTACTCGGTCTCTGTGGGGCTCTGTGAGCCTGGCTGGTATCTGAGCCACGCAGAAGAGACTCCCTGAAATAAAACTGGTGCCAAGGGCGCAGGATCTGTGTCAACCGTGGGATTTAGCGGCGCACTTTACTCACCAAACATATTGTTATTTAAGGTTATTTCACTCTCAGATACTCTTTTTTTCACA